TGCAAACCCTCGGGTGTAGCGGATGTCCATGGGCGGCGGTATTCACTTAACATCAGGTGAGCCGTCAGCTCATTTGGCAACTTTTCACAAAAAAAAAAATAGTAATAACACCATCCTTATGAACGCAACAAATACGTCCGGGTTAGTACCACGACCTCACAGAAGACCAGCGTAAAGAGAAAGTATGACAAATACTTTCGCGATTCGTCTGGTGAGTGAGGTGGCCGAAGCCCAATTTTCAAAAGGTTGTCAACGCATCTGGAACCTTCTGGTGTAGCAGATGTCCATGGGCGGCGCTATTCACTTAACATCAGGTGAACCGTCAGCTCGTTTGGCAACTATTCGCATAACAAAAAAAAGTAAAAAAATATCTAAAATAAAAGTAGCCAAGTTACTCCTTATTACATCTGCTATCTGCCAGTAAAAGTCCCGTCCTAATCGGTCCAGCCGTTTAAGAGATTAGCCCGAACAAACAGACAGACAGACAAAAATTTAAAAAAAAAAAAAATAGGGGAAGCTATGGCTAAGAGTCGCATCGCATTTGAAAGGAAAGCTCGCCAATCCTTGAAAAGTTATCGACGGCATGGCACCCGAGTCAATTACAATGGACTCAATTACAATGAAAACGGCACACCTAAATCGGTCGAATAGTCGAACCTGGGACGCTGCGGTGACGGCATCGAATCCAGCGGGAGAAAACGACCAAAGGTTCGACTCCGCAGCATTGTATTAGGTCTTTTGTTGCGCCCACAAAAGACCGCGGGCCTTGATACTTAGTATTATTACTTTGCACGTTCGGGAGAACTTGTGAAGTACGGATTGTTTGATATTTGCAAAAAATGGCCGTGACGGCTCAGTGTCCGGGTGCTCGCTTTTAATTCAATATACTCGGACGTAAAGTAAAGTAACAACCTATACATGTCCCACAGCTGGGCAAAGGCCTCCTCTATACAAAGGGTATCAGGGCATAGTCCACCACGCAGCCCCACTGCGGATTGGCGGACTTCACATATCTTCGAAATATTTTTTTGTTATTATTTCTAAAATATGCAGGTTTCCTCACGATGTTTTCCTTCACCGCGGAGCACGTGATAAGTCAGCACTTAAAGTTAAAAACTTCATTGGTGCCGGCACCGGGGATCGAACGCAGGTTTCAATTTTTTATATTGAATTAAAGGCGAGCGCCCGGACACAGCTATCACGGCTCGGAGAACCCGAGTTCAAATCCTGGTAACACCAACGAAATTGTAACACGAAAGTGCTAAATTACCACCTGCTCTACGATGAAGGAACACATCGTGGGGAAACCTTCGTCGGATTAGTTTTGGGACTAAATAAAGTTGTGTAAAAACATTCCCTGAAGTATTTCATAAAAAATATTAATTTATCGTTATATTGTTATAGGTTTGTCCTATCGAGACCAAGGATCCATACCAAGATATCGATACCAAGGGATCGAAAGAGTCTGCGTGGAGATAATTTAAGACACGGTGACATAAAACCGGTTTTTATCCCGGCAAAGTCCCGCGTAGCTTTTGTTTTTTATTAAAACGCGGGAGAGTAACCTTGAGCCAGAAATAAATGTGTGTATATCTAAGTATATAGTCTAGCGACCACAGTATAATCAAGGTGCCGAAAAGGGTTCCTTTATTATCTGTATATGGCGTTATCTATATATAAAGTATATGTTCCTAAATGTAACCTAAATATATATAAAAAGAATGCATACTTTATGTCCATAACTTTGTACAATAAATTACCGTTAGAAATTAAACAATTGCCCCTTGCTTTGATTAAGACGAAAATAACGAGATGACTATAATATAAATGACTATGACATTTAATAATTTGACATAGGTATGTAATATCCGTATAATAATTTTAATGGTGTAATGGAATAATTTATTATGTTTAAATGTGTTGTGAATAATTGATTATATTTTAAATAGGTATTATAATGTAAATAATTTTATTTGAAATTGACAATTGCATGCTGAAGTCAGCTGAATATGTTGCATCAAATTATTATAATTAAGATCACAATATACTACCATATTCTGGCAATAAAGACATTCATTCATTCATAAAAAAAAACCGGCCAAGTGCGAGTCGGACTCGCGTACGAAGGTTATCGGCCTGATGACATAATTTTTTTATATATCGGTTATATACAGCGTGTCGTTACCATCGCGACAATAAATGAACACACGTCTAACGCTACTTGCCAATAATCATAAAAAAATATTAAAGTTAAACAAAATCCATAATTAAAAAAAAAATATTTTTCAAACAAACTAATTAACCGGCAAAATTTGTAACATCATTACTACTACTCGCGCCACAGCGTCGCATTACAAGCCTCTCCTTCTAAAACAGTATGTTTTGTCTCTTTTAAATTCAAATTCAACCCACCCATTCATATGCTTTGTGACCTTTACAAAGAACTTTACGTTCGCTGCTTTTATAGGTAAGGGTGTTCTAAAATTCTTTTTTTGTAAAATTTAATAACTCTGTTAATATTAATGTTTAAAGAATTTAATAAAAAGTTATCCCCTATATGTGTGTTCATTTATTGTCGCGATGGTAACGACACGCTGTATAAAAACGGCTAAAAAAAATCACGTCTGTTAAAACATTAAAACTTGTAGAAAAAATACGAAAAGATTGTCGCTGCTGTGGGTCTATCTTTTCGTACTTTTTCTACAAGTTTTAATGTTTAATCGTAAGTGCAGTGTTTTTATAGTGCAATTAGCACTATAAAAAACATTAAATCATGTCTGTTGTTGAAAAAAATCTTGGGAGCCCCACTTAAATATTTTTCTTAATCTGTTTTTTCGTATTTGTTGTTATAGCGGCAACAGAAAGACATCATCTGTGAAAAGAATAAACATGAAGGTTGAACGTCATTTTTTTTTATTCCAAACTCACCAGCACTTGACTGCCATCCCACCTGATGGTAAGTGGCGATGCAGCCTTTGATGGTAAGCGCGCTAGCTCAGTAGAAACCTATTCACTCTTGCCTTGAAGACGCCTACGTTGTAATCGGACGGAAAGACGGACGCCGGCAGGTTGTTCCATTCCTTAGCTGTACGGATGATGAATGAAAAAGCGACTCGCTTTGTCTATCACGGTTCATGAGATACAGCCTGGTGACAGACGGACAGACGGACCGTTTTAGTAATACGGTCCAGTTTTACTCTTTAGGTACGGAACCCTAAAAATCGTAAAGTAGCACTTATTGCACGCGCATGAAATCATGCTGTTGTATGTTTAATCTTTGATTAATCATCAGACTACAATTACGCTTTACGACGCAATTGTATAGCAAGCAACTCAAGTTTTTAATAGAACAGAAAAATGAAGATGAGTTTGATGTGGGCGTATGTATTATAACACTCGATTAGGTTGACTGGTAGAAAATGCCTTTGGTACTAAGCGCGCCTTTGTGCGTAGACTTCATTGTGCATTAAAGTTTAAATAGATAAATAACTCTTCTCCCGTAATCTTTCCATACGACAACCAGACACCCGACGAACACCGTGCCCTTTATCAACGTCCGCCCCAGTCATCTCATATGCATAATAAGAGTCGAACATCGACCGCTTTTAAATGGTTGGTTCTAGAACCTTCTTTGTATTACTTTTGGCGCGTTTGTGAAGAATGATGATGGTGAAATTTTACAACGCGCGACACCTAAAAGCGACACCGACTTCATGAAATTCTTGGCATTTACGAACAATTCCAAGTTAAATAATTAAACCATTACCACATGAATTTAATGTCTTTTTTTCACAAACAAACAGTACTGTTGTTATTTTTCTTTTGTTATGCTAAGGAAGTATGACTTCTTATGTGCGAACATAAGTAATCACATGGGTATTTTTGTCGATGAGTGGGAAGTGCCTACTCATATCCTACTCATATCGCGAGGACAAATTCAAAATCAAATCAAATTCAAATATCTTTATTCAACATAGGAGCAATACACTCTTATTGATTGTCAAAATACTACCACCGGTTTGGAAAAGAAAGCCACTGAACACAAAGAACTGGAGAAAGAAACTCAGCAGGCTGTGTCGGACTTGAAGCCAATACTACAGCTACTTGGTCACGGTTCATTCTAGAACCAAGCCTCCTAAACATTCCATATGAGGTCAGATAATGCGCGGCTTATGTACATGCACATGTGTACATGACAAGCATTATTTCCAAATTGGTCATGGATTTGGTCTACTGGATAATCCACACAGTGTATGATAGGTTCAAACTGTTATTGAATGTCAAAAACTACGAATGGTACACTAAACTATACCTGATTGGAGAAGTACCATGTTATCTCTCTATTTTTTTGTTATAACTATATTCACAGCATATAAAACATGGATTAACAAATTTTTAATGTTCATATTGAATGTTAAATAAAGCCTAGATGTGCTAGGTTTATGCAGGCCTGGTATTATGGAGTTTTTAAAATAAAAAAATATAAAAAAATGTTTTAAAAGATATAACAGTTAATGTCATTAAAGACTATTAACTTCCATACAATGAAAATGGAAATATATGAAATAACATTAATTCCTCTTGTAAATCAAAAAATATTAATTTAGTGCACTCCAAAATGCTGGGATCAACAAAATTATTAATTACAATTTGAAGAGCAGATTTATAGTATGCTCATTGTGAGGAAACTTACAGTTTTGGCCTTAAGACCAGCTAACATGGGTAAAAATTGATGGCAGCTTACCAAAACCTGAATAAAATGCATTCTTTTATATTTTTATATAAGGTTTAAAGGGTAGATTAATTATTTAATACCTTATTGTACAAGGTAGTATGTCTTAAAAATAATTTACTTTGATAAATAAACATACCAGCTACAAATCGTACAGTATTCATTAAATTTTGTCGTTATATATATTGCTGTTAGTAATAATCGATAACATTGCATAAACAATTAATGCGTTTTAATAAAAGTATTGCGCATCTCTTAATACACTTACGTTTTTTCTTCACCATACGTGGACGCACCGTCATTTATAGGGTCCAGAAACAGCTCTGCGCCTTGGTGAATGTATTTCCCGCTAAACGGGCTATTTTTCATCTTGGGACGGAGTAAACAGAAAAATAACTTCCCGTCCACGCTCGGCACCAGAATCTCGAACTGCGAATCCCACTCGTTGCATTTTATTTCTTTTATTTCGTAATCAGGATATAAGTCACCGCAATCGCTGCCCCTAAGAGCTGCGACGGAGGTTAATCTCCATGAATAATGACCGAGGTATGGGCCACCGCGCACATGTAATAAATATTTACAGATCGAATCTACACAATGTTTCTTTTCCACTTGAAAATCGACTATCCATGGACTGGTTGCGTTGTGCTCATCACTATACACTTTTAAAATTAAATAAAACAAAAAGCCACAAGTCCGGAGTACATTCGACACTGGTGCCATTTTTAAAAGACGCCGAAACAAAAAGAAAAACACAACGTACAATTATTAGCGCACGGACATATTTCTACTGCTTGACAGTTCGGCGGGCAATTTTCGCCGGAATTGCGGTAGGTAAAGAAAAAGACAATGTTGTCATATCCGGTGCAAGATTATAACAAAGTAGTATTATAAGATTCAGAACTAATTTATAGACATAAAATAAAAAATCATGCAAAGCTTAAAAAAATAATGATTCATGACAAAAGATAACAACCGGCAGATATAAACCTACTTTATTTGTTCTTATATATTAAATAAATTGTATGTTACACAAAATATATCTTACATAAATAAACTTTAGCGTCATCATCATCATCATTTCAGCCTGTTTGAGTCCACTGCTGAACATAGGCCTCCTCCATAGACTACCACGAAGTACGATCCTGAGCCACCTGTATCCATCGACTTACTACACATTTGCACAGGTCGTCACTCCACCTAGTGGGGGGGCGTCCTACACAGCGATGGCCAGTACGAGGCTGCTACTCGAGAACCTTTCTTCCCCAATGATTATTCTACGAGCTATATGGCCGACCCATCGCCACTTTAACGTCATCATCAAAGTATATTTTATTTTATGAAAATTCATGACAGTTGAATATAATAAATCAATTTGTAAAGAAATATAACGCTACCAAAACAAGTTTCAACCATTAACGAAACGTATCTGTAAATCAATATTTATGATCTGGGAAAAATCAAAATCAATATCTTTATTCAACATAGGAGTATAACACTTGCTTATTGATAGTCAAAGTACTACCACCGGTTCGGAAAAAGAAGCCACTGAGAAGAACAGGCGAAAAAAAAAACTCAGTGGGCAATTAATGTTACAAATACAATATAAGAACTCTGATTGAAAGAGCCTGGGGCGATAAATTCAATTCTCTTTTGAAGATGTGGATTCACTTGTGAGTGGGTGTTCTCCAAGGATCGATACACTACCCCACACACCAATTACATCCACAGGACTCCTAAGGTCAATTTGGCATTATACGTCAACAAGGTTGGATGTTGGTGGGTTTGGGTAAAGCTTTAGTTTCCATTTGACTCCTCCTTGGAGCGTGAATCCAAGACAGCAAGGTCTTATAAACGTTTTGGAGGATCGCTACAACAATTCAAAGTACGCGTAAAACAATGTAATTTAGGGATGAGGTGATAGAAGTCGTAATGATCCAATACGCTTAGCACACACGCTCCGTATGCATAAATAATACACCAGACAGCGCACGCACAGATGAAGGTGATGTTCCTGATTCCTACAAACAATATACGAGTGTGCCAGGCTGTTTTTGAATTGCTCCTGCGTCCAATCTATGGTTGGTTACATTATTAAATACGGGAATTTTTATTTTCGCAAAGTACTTAATTGGTTTTTAAATTGGCTATTTTCTTAAACCTTGTCTTTACGTAAATAATTTAATTTTAAATAATTAATTTTTGCGTAAATAAATTTTCGTAAAGCGTTATTTTTTGTAATTTATCACCACCGAATAGCAATTTTATTCAAATCTTCGATCTATGATCTACGATATTCTATCGATTGCGATCGTCGTTTATAATTTATTATATTATCATTTAAGTCGAGCTTTAAGCCTCCAACAGAGGGGATCCCTTGGATCCTGTAGTGCACCTACTTCCCTGTTTTGATAATTCATCTGTTTTTTACTGTGAGTACAGTTGCAGCAGAGCGGGAAAAGTAATGGAGTCCTTTCCGTGCAACAACTTAATATTTTTTCCTTAGTCCGTGGAAACTCTTTTTACTTAAACTTTTACTCTTATAGACTTCTTCCCTCGACGCCCTCAAAGCAAGCGAGGTAATAGCGACCACTCTGATTTTTAAGACGTGGATACGATAATATACTTTTGGATAGAGAACCAATAATTTATAAAATATTAAATGCATTTTTCTAACCACCTCTGAAATTGAAATCATTCGTGTGAGTTTTTAAATGCGAAATCCTTTATTTTATCTAATTGAATTTAGCACAGTTGCAAGGTCACCCTTGTCATTATAGTTACACGGACAGCTGATTTTTGACAATTTACTTCAGTCTCAAAATCTGTGGTTTACGGGCGTATATCTTTTTTACCTGTGCTTCTAAGAAATAAAAGTCAAAAAACTGTGTGTTGGCTCTATTTAGACAAATATTCATATTATCAAGTAATTAAACATTATAATGAGCCCTACTTTATACACTAAGTCATGAAATTAGCCAAAACATATTGACAAAACTCTTTAACACAGTTGTACTGTGACGTTTCTTTGTCAAAACGTCATTTCGAGATCGCCATGAGAATTAGCTTCGAATAGTTAAGACTTTTGTATGGATTTTTTGAAAATGGAGGTGAGAGAGGCGGGAGATGGGGCTGCGGCCGGGGAGTACGAGCAGGTGCCTTGTAAGAGATACAGCTGGGCCGAGGTTCGTCAAGCAGTCCACGATCTTAGAAAGGAGCTGTCGTCCTTGTCCACCATGGTGCCCATGGCAATTTCCTTTAGAAAGCTGAGCAACGGAAAGACTAGAGTCTACTTCTTGAGGACTCCACAGAATGGCTGGGAGATCACACTACTCTATACCGATATTACCCATTCTTTACAGCCTAACAACACCAGGTAAGCTGATAAGATTTTATTTGTGACTGTAATAAACAAATTATTTTCTTGTGAGAGCTTTTACTCCCGCCTTTTTCTATGTGTGTATATCAGAATGTGCCTTTTATATAGTATATTCCCTTATACTTTTAACTGTCTATATTTATCTTATTGATATCTTATCATTATTATGCTCTTAGACAATTGTGATTCATTTTCTCATACATGAAAAACTTGAGTACTGTGACTGTTATAAGTATAGTTAAAAAATTGGTAATTATATATATATATATAAAAATTGGTAATTATATATATATATATAATTACCAATTTCAACCTGAAGAGTAGAAGTATTTGCTTCCGCTTTATGGCTCACATTTCTGCAACCGTACAGGGGTGGTGGTAATTGCGTAACTTCGCTTGCTACCTTACCTCATGAAAATATGTTAGAAGTTAGAACATAGAAGTACATTGCATCTATGTAATCTCTATCTCTATGAAAATTTTGAAATTATGTACTTGAAAGTCTGACAGTGCAACCCTTTTGATTTAAAAAAAAGAATGTAAGTGTATTTTTCCTGAATATTTGATTTTTTATTTGATATATTTAACATAAATTGGAAGATTTTTATTTATTGTACATTTATTTCATCTTTGGTTCTGAAATTTGTGTATATTTGATATCCATTTTTTTTCCTTGTTTATTTCAAATATTCTAATAGTGTTTACTTGTAATTTTAACATAAAATTGACAATCTGATTTTTTTTGTTAAAATATCTAGAATCGCCTTACAAAATTACACTTATTGTTCTTCTTCTTTTTTTTTTTTTTTGGCGGTTTTCAATGAATACGCCAATGAACACTTCTGGTTGTTTATTTTTGCCTAACTTTTATAATGAAATGATGAAGGGGATGATATTACACTTTTTGTTTTTGTTTTGACATTTTTCCACGACCAAGTTTTTACCAGGTATCTGACATTGTATTGCTGTCATCTGTCATCCATGTCATTCTAGTGTTGCCAAATTTTACCTGAATTTTACGTCTTGTGTATTCCTTTTTTATTTATTTTTCTCTGCTTCTCATCTGTGTCCAATGGCCAGAATTATTTTACCATGTTGTTTTTAATGTATATATATATGTTTGCTGAGTTTGTGTGACAGAATGTTATTTTAATGGTGAGGTGCAATTAGGGTCTGATTGGAATTCATTATTTTATACAGTTTTGTTTTATTGAGTTATCTATAAATTTTTTAGGTACTTATTTCTTTTATAGTTATATATTTTTTTATTTATTTTTATCACATATAGATATTTATATTTATAGATAATTTTTTTTTTCATTTAATTATAACATTATATTTTGCTTAATTCGCAATGATAGAACGGAGAAGGGCGGCGGTGGTGTTGCCATGTATCTAAGAGCTGACACCCTTGTAAAATATTGGACACTTCGCCTAGTTGTTATTCACACTCTGCGGAGCACTTGTTTGTCGAAGTTACCTTACAGCACATCAAGCTACTTTTAGGAGTATTCTATAGCCCTAATTCTCACATCCACTACTTTTCTCCTTTTGAATCCAAGATGGAATTACTTTCTCCTCTGTACGAACATACCATTATCCTTGGTGATTTCAATACTTGCCTTTTAATATCTGATTTTCCTGCTCAACGGCTCCGTTCCCTAGTTGCTTCGCTCAATATACATATTCTTCCCTTATCTGCCATGCATAACCCTTCTTTACTGGATCTGATCCTAGTCTCCAATCCTAATATGGTCGTCACTCATGGACAACTCTCCGCTTCTTTTTCCTATCATGACCTTATATATCTCTCCCATAACATACGTCCCCCTAAACCCAAACCAAAATTAAGTTATCTTCGCAACTTCAAGGGCATTGACGTGGAGCGCTTGCGTGGTGATGCGACTCGTGCTGATTGGTCGGGCGCTTATCTTTCCAACTCAATTGACGAAAATATTGATGATTTCAATAAAACACTCAGAGCCCTTTATGATCAACATGCTCCAGTAAAATGTGTTAGGGCTAAGAGGTTGCCGGCTGCTTGGTTGACGGCTGAAATAAAAAAAGTTATGTCCAAAAGAGACAAGGCCAAGCGACGCCTCAGGAAGCAACCCTCTGAAAATAATTTAACAGCATACAAATATCTACGAAATCGCAGCAATCGTTTGTGTAGGGATGCGAAAAGAAGTCACATTCACAAAAATATTGAAAATTCATCAAATAAACAGGTTTGGAAATTTTTAAAGTCACGTGGTGTGGGAAAATCCTCTCATTACGAACCCATGATAATTGATCTTGATGCACTAAATACACACTTTTCTCGCTCTCCTGTCATATTGGATGACACCATTAAGTCTATCACCCTTAATCGTCTTCTACAGTCTCTTCCCAAGTGTACAGCTTTCTCCTTTGCACCGGTTTCAGAGTGTGACGTTAAGAGATCCTTTCGCTCTATTTCTACTGAGGCAGTGGGCGTTGATGGAATTCATCATCAGATGATCCATCTAATCTTGGATGAGCTTGTCCCAGTTCTCACCCATATTCTCAATTTCTCACTGACAACAGGCTATTTCCCTTCGGTATGGAAAAAAGCACAAGTCATCCGTACCTAAAACTTCCAATCCTTCATCTCTCACAATATCGCCCCATCTCTATTTTACCGAGAGCATTGTACAGCGACAGCTAGAGATGGGTCGTATCGCTTTTTCTGAGTACCGTATCTGAATCAGATTTCGATTTCAAATATCAGATTTCGAAACTATGTATTTTAATATCTAGATATTTTACGGTCCCGTATCCACCTTGAATTCTAAAAACAAAAAAAAAAACAAAAAAAAAAAATCATTATAAAAAAAAATTCAATGAAATTACCATTACTATTACCATTACCAGTAACGAAGTACCAACTCTTCAAAAAGAATACTCCTAAATAAATTCGAAAACCCACTAAAATTGACAAAATTCCAGAAACTTACTGATTTAAAATCACGATGTTTTATACTATTGAGGTAAAATTTAAACATTACCAAACAAAATTACCTGATTAAATTAAAAATTTCATTAAAAATAGAAATATACACACAAGGCACATAAGCCTTGGTCTGATTTCCACCAAAGCAGCACAGCACTATTCAATTATATTTTTCTTTTTATGTAGTTTTATTTTTTTCCAAATATATGAATAATATTTAACTAAAAAAAATATTCCCAAAAAATTTACCTCCTAAAAAATTTCCATTGTATATTTTTCATGCCTTACTATTACGTGCTAGGTACCAATGCAATCCAACTCAAGGCTAAACAAAATTTAAAGAAATCGTTAATACCGTAATTCATATTAAAATGCAACAGAGTTTTTTTCCATGCCGTTAAAATTCAAAATTACTTAACTCCGCACTTTGTCGCCCGTTACGGCTCAAGGCTAAACAAAAGAATAAAAATATAATAATACCGTTGTAGTACTCGTTGATACCATGATCAATATTTAAATAAAACGGATCTTATTTAGATGGTATTAAGATTCAAAATTACTTAACTTATTCATAATATCTGTTTAAAAATCTGATATTGTGCCTTGCTTGCCGTACTGCTCTAACTAGTGTAATATTTGTATCTCACGCTCTTTGTCGCTCAAAATCTGTTTAAAAATCTGATATCGTGCATTGCTTGCTGTCCCGCTCTAACTAGTGAATATTTGTATCTCACGCGCTTTGTCTCTCGAAATCTGTTTAAAAATCAGATATTGTGGCAAACGCGTATGATATCGCGATTCGTGTCGGTATAGCGAGCGAGCACGGTACATCAGATTTCGGAAATATCAGATATTGTAAAATACATAGATATTGAAGGAGCCAGTAAGCGATATTCGGATATTGTACTAATATCTAGTTTTCATATCTGATACGATTTGTATTGCCCACTTCTAGCGACAGCTATCCTCCTTTTTAAACTTCAATGGTCTACTAAATCACTTTCAGTCTGGTTTTCGTCCTGGCCACAGTACGGTTACGGCTCTCCTTAAGGTGTCTGACGACGTTCGCCAAGCTATAGACCGCAAGCGGTTGACAGTTTTGATCCTACTCGATTTCAGCAGCGCTTTTAACTCCGTTGACTTTGATGTTCTCTTAGGTATTCTTAAATCTCTTAACGTATTTCCACCTGCACTTACCTGCGGGGTCGCTCGCAGTGTGTCCGCTATGATGATGCTTCATCAGGCTGGTGTGATCTTGCTGCGGGAGTTCCACAAGGTAGCGTCTTATCTCCTCTCTTATTTTAAATATTAATGCTGTCAATCATCTCTATTTCTTCTCTATTCATCTCTATGCAGACGACTTGCAGCTTTACCGCCATTTTAAGGTATACGAGATGCATGATGAAAATTTGTAACTGGGCAAAATTTTTTGGACTTCTAGTTAATCCAGCAAAGTCCCAAGCGGTTATTTTTGGCAGCACGTATATGCTCAATTTCATCAACGGTAATAACTTGCCACCGGTATGCTACGATGGTGTTACTATACAATACTCTTCGTGTGCTAAGAACCTTGGCATTTTGTTTGACAGCAAGTTATCCTGGACCACTCACATTAATGAAGTGAGCAGGATGATACATTACTCGCTTCATTCTCTCAGGCGTCTCCATAGGCCCTTTGAAACAAAAATTACACTCGCCCAGTCCCTTCTTCTACCTCTTCTTGCTGCTGAATAAATTGGAACGCTTACAAAATTTGTGTATGCGCTTCATTTTTGGGCTGCGTAAATACGATCATATTTCTAGCTTCCGATCCCCGTTGAAATGGTTACTCATACATCGCCGTTGAGATTTGCATGTAGTATTCACACTTTACTCAATTCTCAAAAATCCTGCGGCTCCTCTGTACCTCCGTGAGCGTTTTGAGTACATGGTACCGCGTGGTCCACCCTGTCGTGAGAACAAATCCCTTCTTCTAAAATTACCCTCGCACTCTTCTTCCTGTTATGGCATCTCTTTTACAGTACACGCGGTGCGTCTCTGGAACTCTTTACCTCATAATGTCCGTGCCAGTCCATCATCGAACGTTTTCAAGAAAAGAGCAAAGGAGTTTTATTTATCCACATAAAGTATTTTTCTTCTTATATATCTTGTTTTCTATCTTTTTTTTAATATATATTAAGTGTATGTTATGTATTGTGTATATATATGTTTATAGATATATTTATGTATTTATATTAATATAAATATATATATATATATATATGCATGGTATGTTAAAGAAATATCTCTGTGCACTAAATACATTTTCAGCTACCTTCAATCAAATATTTTTCTTACCAGGTTAGCTGGCAGAGAACTCATGCATTGAGTTAAGCTTACCTTTTGTACATTACTTTTTTTTAAACATTTTTTTTGTATCCTGTGTTTTGTGTACAATAAATACATAAATAAAAAATAAAATAAATAAATTGCTTTGAAACTGTTTATGTTAACTGTACTGTAAATTGTGATTGTTTTGTAAACTATTTTCTAGCATAATCTTGCTAACTTGATTGTTAAATAAAGGTAAAAAACAAGATTATTATGCATATAGGTCATTGATACTGCAGTAGTTTACATTTTCCAATCTATTGTCTTATTTTAAATGTTTGTAAAGGCACCTATAAATGTTTAAATAATTATATCTTAAGGGCACTTATCACAGTTTGATCCTTGTTTCTTAAAAACTGTAAATAAACATGGCTAGCTACTAAGATGTGTTTAAATCAATTGCTAACTCTTTATAATAAATATGTGTTCTCATTGTTTACATAAACTAGATAATAATATTTTTAAATCCACATACCAGCATATCAAGTTACTCACACATGTTTCTGACGCTAACGCTTCTAGGCTTTAGTATATTGTTAATCTGTTCCCTTCATAGTTCAGTGCTCGGGCGCTCGCTGAATTCAATGAAATTCACACAAAAAAAATGACAAGCGGCGAAGGAAAACATTGTAAGATAACTTGCATATTTTCTAAATAATAACAATAGAAAAATTAGTCCGCAAATCGGCAGTGGGGTCGCGTGGTGTACTGCCTTAATACCATATACAGAGGACGTCTTTGCCTGGCAGTGGGACTTATGTAGACTGGTACCCTACTCTGTTTGCAGGCTGGACTGGAAGCCCCTGATAGAGTCCAATATCGCTCTGGGCGTGAGCTCCGGTAAGTGGTCGAGAGAAGAACAACTGCTGTGGGAGAGACAGCGGGTGGCCGCGTGGGGCATAGCGTCGTACGAGCTCCACCGTGAGTCAGGCCGGGTGCTATTCCCCTGCGCCTCGTCACTCTTCGTGGCAGAAGAAGGCGCCAATCAGGTACTGCTTTTTAGCTAAATAAGTCCAGCTCCGTTTTGTTTCTGAATAATTTGATGCAATAATGTTTCTCAATAATCACGGATGTTTGTATTTTAGGATTGATATCTATTTTAAGTGCTAGCAAATTGCTCTAGCAAATCTCTCTAGCAAATCTCTCTAGCTAATTGCTGTTAGCAATGCATGGCGCCATCTAGTGAGAATTTTATAAGCTATGCACAATAGATGGCGCCAATTGCTGAAGTGCAATAAAAGAATTAAGCTAGAGTTGTATTGATTTTTGAGGTCATCGGCCGCTTAGCTTAGTTGTTAAAGCGATCCCTAGAAGTCCAATCTTATACTAGAATCGGCCAGAAATCTCATATCTATAATCTCTGTCTCCATTTAGCAATGGCGTTTTTGGAACATTCTTGAAACGTCATAACTTCCAATTTTATGAAATTGAATAATTCTAATTTGAAGCTTATGTTTGCCCCTTGTGTCGAAATATAAACAAATAAAATAAAGATAATGTTGTAAAAAAAACAATTGGTTAAGAACTTCTTATAAAGAATGTACGATAATGCCATCTATTGACGATTTGTTTAAACTAGAAATAGCAAAGCAGACAGAATTTTATCGTTATCCTTCAAAATAAGTTAATTTCCATTGACGAATATTTATTGGCACATTATCACATTACATTCGGTGACCGATCACACTTCGTTGTGCACGAATTGGCAGGTTCTTCCGGGGAAGTACCACATCGAAGGATAATACTTCCAGTATCATACTTCTACTTTTCGTCTGCTGAGTGAGGTAACCGAGGCACGCTTATTTTAAAGCTGGCAACTAATCTTTTTTTTATTTCATACGTTAGGAAGTGGCTAGCGGGCTGGCGGTTCGCCTGATGTAAAGCTATAACCGCCGCCCATTGACATTTGCAACACGGGTAGCGTTGCAGATGCCACCATTTAATAAAGTGGGTCTCGGCTACCCACTCACCAGACGAAACGCAGAAGCGTAACACTTTCACTTCACACCTGTCTTCTCTGAGGTCGTCGTTCTGCCTCGGACGGACCACAGTTAAATCTGCAACCCAACTTTGCAACTACACATAAGCGAAAATGCTTTGCATACCCTGTCCCGTAGAAAAATTACCTAAAACACAATGTTAATTATTGTCAACTAGCTGCTGCTCGCGACGTCTGCGTAAAATAGGCTGAATAGGTAAAATTAAGACAGAAAGACAGATATAGATAAAATATGTATATAAATTATAACCTATGTCTTATTCCGATCTATAAGTTATATAATTGTAAACATTCATTAAAATCCATTCAATAGTATTTGCGTGAAAGAGTAACAAACATCCATCCATACATACAAACTTTCGCCTTTGTAATATTAGTAAGGATGATAAGTTTACTTAAATCATGCCTTTTCATATTTATTAATTTCAGCGCCATCTATTGTTGTTAGCTTTACATCAGGTTAAGGAGGCGGTGTTTTTAAGGTTGCTCGCTTGCTACCTTGAAAAGAGTAACAAAATAATTGGACGAGCGTTTGGTTTGCGCGCAGTCGCCGCCGCTGGTGCCCCGCTCGCTGAGCAGCGGCGGGGGCGCAGCCCTGACGCCGGCGATGTGCCCTCGGGCTCCGTCTCTAGTGGCGCACGCGGCGCGGGGCGACATCTGGCTGGCGGGCGGAGCCCTGCAGCGGCCCACCAGGCTCACCTACGCCTGCAAAGGCCACGAGCCGGACCGGTGAGTCGGTTTCCAGAAATGGACGACGGAGCGATTCCCTCCGTCATTCATCATCATCTAAGTGATGGTACAACCTGCCGGCGTCCACCTTTCCGTCAGATTGCAAGGCAATGGTGAATAGGTTTTCACCTATTGCTAGAGTGGTAGAAAAAAATGCGAAATAAATAAATATGTAAAAAAAAAAAAAAAAAAACTGGATTTGACCCTTTTGTAACTTTGTTGCATTAAACATACAATGATACTCAGTTTTGTACTCAGGTTGTTCTAGCAATCTGAATTAAAACGCGAGCACCCGCACACTCTAATCGCGGCTCTTGACTAAATTAATACGGAACGAATAAAAGCTTAATATTCAGAATAGAATACTTTTCCGTAAATGTGCATTATGCTATAAAAATAATGATAGCCAACTTAATGCAATATAACTTGAATTTGCACTATTGTATGCCATCGTTCGTTAGAAGGCTTAGAACTTATACGCATCCGAGGATATGACGCTATCAAGCCACCTAAAAAGAATATATAACCTTATAATGGAACACTTTAAAATCCATAAAACATAGCAGTGCGCAGTTCACGTTAAAGTCCAGTTTTATTTGTGGTAGGGCCACGCGACAGTCTTCGCTGTTGCATGAATGGGCAGGTCCGTCCGGGGAAGTACCACACCTCACAGAACACCGTCGTGAAGTGCAATTGTTACACCTCTGTGTTTCTCCTGGTGACCAAGGCAGCCGGGGCCTACTTCATTGAAAGGTGGCAACACATCTGCAACCCTACGGGCTATCACTTAGCATCAGGCGGGCCGCCAGCTCGCTTGGCATCTTCTTACATAAAAAAGTTGCCAGCAGTTGCGTCGTCTTTGATGACCTTGAACGCTCCAGGTTGGCAGACGACCCCAAGCAGGCGGGTGTGCCGTGCTACGTGACCCAGGAGGAGTTCTCCAGGTACACCGGCTTCTGGTGGCAGCCCAAGTGCGAAGGTCAGTGCCAAAAGAGTATTGATGACCCCTTGGCATAATTGCCAAGGCTTGGCGCCGGGGGCTTGGCTTCGGCGCCGGAGGTCGTCGGTTTGGTTGGCACACGATGAAACTGTTTATAGATAAAATCCACGTTTAAAACGTTATTATCATATTTTAACGTCTTAGGATTTCTGCATGCAGACAATTCATAAACAGTTATACCTTCATTTTTTCAACTTAAAAGCCTTGCATAGTTGTAATGACGCGATTGGCCCGTTATGGTAGTGAACATGCTTCTTGCGCCTGAGGGTGGGGGTTCGATCCTCGCTACTGGAAAAATGAATTAATAATAAAATTGTGTGACAAACATAGTGTTCTTCCAGTATTCCAGTTCTGGGTGTTTATACATGTACAATATGTATTTATTTACGATAGTGTAATAATAATAATAAATAATAATTAATGACTCCGGGACGGAACGCTCCAAGCTCTAATGCAGAAAGCGGTGCTCCTCGATACCGCCCGCATCGTCCGCCGGTTTCTCTCCCTTTCACCCTAACCCTCGGCCGTTTGGTCTCCCCTGCTGAGTTCTTCCGTCTGGTTGGGTCCTATTTATATATCTATTATATACAATATTTACATCTATATGTTTATTTTTATTCATAATATTTATTTTATATATGCAATATATATCCATAAACCCAACCGGATGAGAAAACAAATAAATATCCCCAACAAATAATTAATATAATATTTATTTCTCACCACAACTAATAGCATAAAATAATATATTATTTGTTTACACTTTTCGTTCCACTTCAAAGGATATATTAATTTATTAGTTGGTTAGTGGATCGCTGGTGCCTGCAGTAGGTATTGAAAAAACCCGTAAATACAGGACACCAGTTCATCACCCCATAATATCATTAATTGGAAAACAACAGTAACAAATACTAACATATAAAACGGTATATAATAATTAAAGTATGTAGTGTGTGTGTGTAAAAGTGAGAAAGAGTGTGTGTTTATTTTCTGTGCGTGAGATCATTTAAATTCGGTGATCAGAAAGGAATGTGTTGCGCATTTGTAAAAACGAATATTATAACGTTACTAGCTGCTGCCCGCGACTACGTCTGCGTAGAGGGGTGAAAATTTTACGTTGTATGTATTTTTGTGTGCTGGATCATAAAAAAATAGAAACAAAAAAATTATATAAAAAGTAAAAAAAAATTTTTAGGGGTGGACCACCCTTAACATTTAGGGGGATGAAAAATAGATAGTAGCCGATTCTCAGACCTACTGAATACGCATATAAAATTTGTTAAAAATCGGTCGAGCCGTTTCGGAGGAGTTCAAGTTCGAACCCCGTGACACGAGAATTTTATATATTAGATATCCAAAAGTTCTTCTGTTTGGACGTAAGTTTGCTTAAAGAGCATAGGGTAAGGAGCTCGGTAGTATGTTTATTACTTACTCTAGTATTCTAGTACTGTTGCATAAGCTCAATTTATTCAAGCATTGCTTGCACTATGAGTATTAGACTAGAGACATTGTGATAGGACTAGAGACATTGTGTAAGTGTCCTAAAATATTTTTTTATCAGATGCATGCGTAACAAATATTATGCATGCATATGATTCAGTATTCTGACGGTTTCACCCTTTCACAGATGACGTCTACAGGATAGTCTACGAGGAAGTAGACGAAGGAGAGGTGAAGATCCTAAGCTTCCCTTCATCGCAGAGCGTCAGCGGCGAGGTCGAGGAGTTCAGGTATGGATTCCACGCCAGGTCTGCTCATTTACCATGTTTAAAGTTTGATGCACGCTCAGTGGAACCCATCTATAAAAACACACAACAATAAATAACTTAAGAACACCCTTACATATAAAACTGTGATGAAAGTTCATTTGTAACGGTCACAAAACGTATAAATTGTTTGAATGTATTTAAACCAGATAAAACATTTGTAATGCGATGTTTTGGCAACGAATGAAAATGCCTCCAAATGTATGATGTTACAAATTTTGTTCATTTTTTATTTAATTAGTTTGTTTGACCATATTTCTTTTTTATTATGGATTTTTTTTAAGTTTACATATAAAGTGTGTTCATTTAGTGTCGCGAGTGTAACGCCACATTGTATATTTATTACAGTGTACCAGTCTTAGAAATATCTCTTGTGTGGTTTTTTTTTATGTGAAAAGTCGACAAGCGAAAGACCTGATGGTAAGTGAATACCGCCCATGGACATCTGCTACACCCGAGGGTTGCAGATGCGTTGACAACCTTTTGAAAATTGGGCTCCGGCCACCACACTCACCAGACGAAACGCGAAAGTATTATACCTCCGCTTTACGCCGGTCTTCTGCGAGGTCGTGGTACTTACCCGGACGAGCGTGCCCATTCGTGCAACAGCCGAGGCGGCTGCGTGGCCGTACCACTTGTGTGTCCGTGTGTAACGTCCCTGTCTACCCCGTTCCAGGTTTCCCCGCGCCGGTACGCCAAACGCCAAGTCCACCCTGAAGCTGGTGACCTTCCGGCTGCAGAAGGCGGCGCCCACCACCGTCCTCGACTACTACCAAGAGGGCGCAGACACCCACTGTATGTATGAGTTGTGCCTTGATGACTCCGTGGCGCAGTTGCCGAGGTGTCGGCTCCGTTACCGCGGCCCGTGGGCTCGATTCCTACCCGGGACAACTATTCGGATCTGGGTGTTCGTCCATAATTTACGTATACAGCGTGCCGTTACAGCCGCGACAGTAAATGAACGCTGAACGCACATATAGAGGAGAACTTTTTAAAATTGTACAAAACATTTACATTATTTATATATCAATATTTACAGAGTTATTAAATTTTCCAAAACAAACAATTTTAGAACACCCTTACGTATAAAACTGTAACGTAAAGTTCATTTGTAAAGGTCATAAAGCATATGAATGGGTTGAATGAAAATTTAAAAGAGATAAAACATACTGTGAGAAGAAGAGGCTTGTAATGAAAACGAATGAAAAAGTCTCTGAATGTATGAATCTGTCAGCTGTAGCTGAACAGGATGTTACAAATTTCGTTACTTTTTTATTTAATTAATTTGTTTGAAAATTATTTTTTTTAACTATGGATTTTTTTTTAAGTTTGTATTTTTTATGATTATTGGCAAGTAGCGTTTGAAGTGTGTTAATTTAATGTCGTTGTTGTAACAACACGCTATATAAAACTTCCCTACAGCACAGGATACTGTTATTCTACAATAAGTGAGCAATGTTTTCGAAGGGAAGACTACAATAGTTCTTTCTAGGTTGCTGTTGTTATTGGGACTTACTTACTTTCCACACACAATACAACAGTTGTGCCTTTGTTGCAGTCGTTCTGGTCTTGTGGTTGCGATGACGTACAAACGTAATCTCAGAAACACGGGTTCATTTCCCCATAGTATGTAAAAAGTATGTCCCGAAATATTTAATCATTTATTTTACAAATATGCATGATTACTTTGTCTTCTATTTGTATATTGTCCAGAGGGTGGGGCTACCAGCTATCTGTCCGACAACTGGCTGGAACCACTACGGGTACGCGACCCCGGACTGCTCTAGCTACTACTGGCACATTCCACCTGCATCCCGTGACAGTAGTATCACACCCCCCTCCTTCCTTTCCCACCTTCACTCCCACTTAACTAACTCTCCAGGGACACCATTATCTAGTTCCCAAAAAGAAGGAAGTTTTCCTTAAAAAACCCGGAACGGTGCCTCCGTTCAGGCGAGAGCCAGGCACCTGCGGCCGAACCGGCACCACACGTATTGACTTGTCATTCCTGTGGAACCTGCCGGGGAGGAGGAGAGGGTGGCACGGGTTCTGGGCAAGCCCGTGCTGCCATAAAGTCGTCTGACCCAGGCGTAGTAGCCTGCCTTACAGGTGGAAAAAGAACACGGGAAGTGGCAGTTACCGGTTGTAAGTCAGCACCAATAGGCGTAAGTGCGGGCGCCAGGGGTCACTTCCGACAGTAGGAGGATCCTTTGTAGGTCCACCGATCAGGTACCGCCTGCTCTAAGTCGGCCAGCCCTCGACCAATAAGGTACTGATCCGCCTCAGCACCAACGTGTTCTGCCTGGGTGAACAGAACACAAGCCTCACAGCTAGATGTTGGTGCTGTATCTACAAACACCTGCTCAAACAAATACACAAAAACCCAAACCCAACATCAACGCTACTTACATGCGCTTCGCGTCATGGAATGTCCGAACAATGAGGACAGGCTTTCCGAACACCTGTGGGAGTTTCGATTGCGCCCAAGACCTGCGCAAAACTTATAATATCGACATCGAACTCGAAAAGGCTCAACGTCGATATCGCGGCCTTACAAGAGACCAGAATCGAAGACGAGGGGTCTATACGCGAGGCGAACTACACTTTTTTCTGGAAGGGCAAGAGTTTGACAGAGAACCGTGAGCATGGCGTAGGATTTGCGATCCGTAATCACCTACTAAACGCTACAGAGACACCTATTGGTGTGTCTGAGCGTATTATGATCTTGCGTCTTAATACAAAGTGCGGCGTTGTCACGCTTGTTTCCGCTTACGCTCCGACGCTCAATTCCACATCTGAGAACAAAGATCAATTCTACGACCGGCTCGAGGAAACAGTTCGTGGGATACACTCAACAGGCAGACTTTACATCTTAGGTTACTTTAACGCTCGCGTCGGCCAGGATACCACCGCTTGGCCTGAATGCCTTGGTGCACATGGTGTAGGTAAGCAAAACGAGAATGGTCAGCGATTGCTGGAGTTTTGCTCCAGGCACCAGTTGTGTGTAACCAACACTTTTTTCAAGGGCAAATTGATGCGGAAGGTCTCCTGGAGGCAACCCCGATCGAAACACTGTTACCAACTGGACCAAATCCTTACCAAAGTGAGGGACCTACGGGAAACTCTCCATACGCGGGCTTTTCATAGCGCTGACTGCGACACTGATCACAGCCTCGTGTCATCCAAAGTGCGGCTTGTCCCAAAGAGAATCCACTCCTCAAGGCTCTCGGGTCGTAAAAGGATTAACCTTTTTAACACTCGGGACCCGGATGCAGTGGCGAGTTTCGGGGCCTTGGTTAACACGGAAGTTGCTACATGGGACAGATCGGCTACGCCGGAAGCTGAGTGGGAAAGACTAAAATCTCTCCTCACTGTAACTGCAGGAGAGGCTTTCGGCTAACGCAGGGGATATTGGCGGAGTTTACGCAGGTATAAAAAGAGCTATTGGAACTATTCCGAAGAAGACGGCACCTCTAAAGGAAACTAACGGCTCTATCATCACAGATAGTACCGACAAATGACTAGACGGGTGGAACACTACACCGGCCTTTATTCTCGCCCCGTCTCCATAAAGCCGGAAGCAATGGAACTTGTCGCGAGGCTGGAGCTGGTATGAGTTAGACGCCGTACCAAACGTAGAGGAGCTCCAACTGGGCGTCAATCAGCTTAAAGGCGAAAAAAGTCCGGGCAAAGACGAGGTGTACACAGAGGTTGTAAAGCTCAAGTGCCTTCTCCCAGTCCTTCACAACCATCTGGCTAAATGCTGGGAAACTGCGTGCCACGGGATATGCGTGATGCCAACATCGTAACCCTTTACAAGGGCAAAGGTGACCGCGGCGACTGTCACTGCTACCGCGGAATATCCCTTCTCAGTATCGTCCCTAAAGCTTTTGCTAGAACAATCCTAGGCAAACTGCAGAAACTCGCTGACCGCGTGTATCCCGAGGCACAATGTGGCTTTAGGTGTCGGCGGTCAACCGTTGACATGATATTTTCTCTTCGTCAACTACAAGAGAAGTGTAGAGAGCAGCAGACTCCACTAGTCGTTGCGTTCGTGGACTTGAACAAGGCATTCGATACTGTGAGCAGGGAGGGGCTATATTCAGTTCTTACTAGGATTGGATGCCCGCCAAAACTTCTAAAGATAGTACAGTCATTCCACGAGAACATGGAGGCCACAGTTTTGCACAATGGCGAATCGTCAGAGCCGTTTCATGTTCGCAGAGGCGTTCGTCAAGGCTGTGTTTTGGCTCCAACCCTGTTTGGAATATTCTTTTCTGTACTTCTTAATGTTGCTTTCGGTAATGAGGATCAGGGCGTCCACCTTCACACACGATCCGATGGTATGCTGTACAATATCTCCCTGCTCATGTCCAAGCGTCACAGAGAGGACCTCTTTGTTGACAGCCTTCTCTTTGCTGATGACGCTGCCTTCGTCGCCCACGATCAAGCTGAGCTCCAGAAACTAGCGGACAAATTTGCCAGAGCATGTGACCTATTCTCCATGTTTATCAACGCTAAGAAGACCGTAATTTTAGCGCAAGGAAACTCAGAGCCTCCAGTAATTCTGCTACACGGCGCTCCACTGGAGGTGGTCAGCAAGTTCTGCTACCTGGGTTCGCAAGTGTCGAGCAATCCCTCGCTTGTTGCAGAGATCGATTCCCGCATCGGCAAAGCGGCCACCACGTTCGGGAAGCTCCGTTCTAGGGCTTGGGACAACAAGCATCTAACGTTAAAAACAAAGATGCTTGTTTACGAAGAGTGCGTTCTTAGTGCACTGCTATACGGAGCGGAATCCTGGACGACATATGCAAAGCAAGAACGTCGGCTGAACTGTTTCCACATGCGCTGTCTTCGAAGCATACTAGGCGTCACCTGGAGAGACCGCATGACAAACGAGTCTGTGCTAGGCGCTGCGCAACTACCCAGTATCACCGCCACCCTCAAACAGAGAAGGGCATGTGCATGGAACAGGCTCGTTTGCCAAGGCAAATTTTACTAGGAGAGCTCGTAGATGCAAAAAGACCCATTGGGCGACCTATATTGCGCTTTAAAGATTGCGTCAAGCGTGATATGATCGCATTTAACATTCCAACGCAGCAATGGGCAGAGCTGTCGGCAGACCGAGGCAAGTGGCGTAAACTTGTTCGAGAAGGCCAATCTAAGCACGAGGAATCCTGGTTCGATCTTTTAAAGAAAAAGCGTACAGGGCGTAAAGAAAGAGCCGCCAACCCCGAACAACGAGGGGGCTTCACTTGCCGAGAGTGCGGCCGAAAGATCACCTCTAGGATCGGCCTCTTCAGCCACGAGCGTAAATGTCACCGCGACGCTACTTAGATCATCAGTCATAGATGCTAAGGCCTATTATTATTATTTGTATATAAAATATATGTGAAAGACATGTCAAAAACATTATACAGGGTGGCTTTTTTAAAGGTGCCCAAATTCACACAGGAGGTTCAGACTCGGTAGTATAATCGTTTATTGAAATAAAAACAATTTTTTTTTCCAAAAAAATTGCCATTCTATTCCCTAAAAAACAGAACTTGTTGTCAATGCAGTAGTCATTCATAAATGCGTAGTATACTTTTGAAACGAATTTGTGTGCGTGTTAGCTATGAATGATCGCGCGTAAAATAAATGAGTTGCCCATAAATCACGCACTTTTTGAGATAAGTTAAAATGAATGTAATTAATTAATTACGGGTGATTTTAAATATTTATCATTTTTATATAACATTTTTTATGTCTAGAATTTAATTAAAAAAATGGATACACTTAGAAAAGCCTCCCTGTATATGCCTACTTTGTAAGTAGTGTGTGTACTGGTTATTTATACAACATTACTTAGCCTTTAAAGCGGGAAACCTTGTACTTTAAATACCAGTTAACCGATAAATACACTTATGGCATATTTTTCTATTGCAAATTAATGTGTATGAGACTGGTTCACTATCCACTCCAATCGGGTCATACATAATTACATACATACATAACGCTATATGACCTATTTGCTGTAACTCACAAAAAGGATAGTAATGATCAAATAAAATGTAATTAATACTAACAAGTAATATGTTGAGAAAAAGAAAAAAAAAAGAAAAAGAAAAATTCAAACCCTTGCTCCTACGATCTATAATTTGGTGAGAAAATTTTAGTAGCCGAAAACTTATATTAAAACGTCTTAAAAGCTGTGTGTAAAGAACAAAATAAGAACAATTTATTTTCAAACTTCGTTTCATTGAACTACAAATTAGAGGAATTATTTGGCAATCAAAAACATTTCGGCTCCAGGCAAAAGTGCCCATTTCGTGGGTAACAGTCTGCTGTTTCTAAAGTGTCTTTTCTGGACAGCATCAGCCGACTGCGTGGACGGGAAGGACTGCATGGAGGCGACGGATATCCGGTGGTACGAGATGCGGCAGCCCCTCAAGGAGGTGTTCCCCTGGTTCGAGTACCTGGCCAGGGTCGGGTGGACGCCGTGCGGCAAGTTGTGAGTAGACCGGCGGAGCGGTAGACCGTCTATTGGTTAAACGCCATTACATCGCAAAAGCCCTAGAGCTGTTTTGTTTGAAAATACATGTGGAGTGGTGGAACGTCCATTGGTTAAACGCCACATTATGAGGGGAAAATCCTTGATATGATATGTTTTGTTTAAAATACATACATACTTTAACGAGACATTACTTCTCTACCATATTTAACTTTTCATTCTCATTTTTATCCTTGTTTGTGCTGAGTCCATATATTTTTTTTAACATTGCCCTTTAGGATATAATTATCCTGTGTTGTAAGGACATTCTACAAACATAAATTTCACGCGGACAAACACCCAGATGCGAAACAACTATTTGTGGGTCACACAAATAATGGTCCCGCGTGGGAATCGAACCCACGACCACCGACGCTGAAGCCAATCCCTTGACAACTCGCCACGGAGTCTGCATGTAAATTTGCTAGTTTGTGTAACATAATTTCTATTTTATCTTATGCGATGTGTGCACAGTAAAAAGCTGATCATTTGATGTTAAGCTATTACTACCCATGGGCATGTGGGGTAACGGATGCTTTGACTCGAAGAATTTTTCCGGATCAGGATTTATTTACAAATGCCAATCATAAATTGCACATGTTTTGCTGACCCCACATAGGTGGGTTAAGGACGGAACCAATTAGGAGTGATTCTGATGGTTGTGTTTCCCAGAAGGACGAATATTAACTTAAAGGGTTTTTAAAATTAAAACGCTTTAAAAGCATGTTGACAGCGCCATCTATTGACGATTTGTCGACAATTTTGATCAACAGTAAACAATGACCACCATAATAATTATATGTTATATACATAATAATATTTTTATATATATATATATAAATTAAATAATAAAAATAAATAATAAGTAATATATATAAATAAATTTAAATAATTGTTAAAATATAATTTCAAGGAAAGCCAGTATCTATTTTTTTTATGTTTTCGGCGGCCTATATTCATAAAGCGGATTGAAACAGGCTGAAAAGGGGACGATAATTATTATTTACGTAATTATTGCATATAATAAAACCTATTTCATAGTATAGAAAATATCATTTATTGATATAAATTTTAATACTTATTATCAGTAGAATTTTTTACATTCGGCGACTGTTCACGTTACTCGATGCAAGAGTTTCGCGCGAGCCAACTGGTTGTAGATTACTCTACCAAGATCTTCCATTAAGTTAAGAGAAGATCTTCAGGATCTTTAACGGTGGTAGAGCCACGCAGCGGCCTCGGCTGTTGCACGAATGGGCAGGCTCGTCCGGGTAAGTACCACGACCTCACAGTAGACCGGCGTAAAGTGGAATCATAATACTTTCGCGTTTCGTCTGGTGAGTGAAGTAACCGGAGCCCAATTTTCAAAAGGTTGTAAACGCATCTGCAACCCTCGGGTGTAGCAGATGTCCACGAGCGGCGGTATTCACTTACCATCAGGTGAACCGTCTGCTCCTTTGGCAACTTTTCACATAAAAAAAATCTTTAAGAGTCTTAAGGAGAACCTCGCCTCCCGCAGTGTTTGGGTGCAACTCCTGGACAGAGAGCAGCAGAGGCTCGAGCTGGCGCTGATACCGCTGGCAGAGTTCTGCGCGCCGACCGGCTACGAGGATGCGCCGACGGCACCGGCTTCTGCACCGGCTTCTGCCTCGGTGGCCGGCGGGGAGGGGGAGGTGAGTTGTGCGGGAGCGAGAGGGGGCGTTGTGTGAGAGGGAGAGTAGGGGGCCTTGAGCGAGAAGAAGAGAGGGGCGTTGTGCGAGAGGGGGCATTGAGAGAGAAGAAGAGAGGGGCGTTGTGCGCGAGGGAGAGGGGGCGTTGTGCGCGAGGGATAGGGGGCGTTGAGAGAGATAGGTGTATCATAGACTGAATAACGAACATCACTAGTAGTCGATTGTCTCTCGCCACTTTGCATATTGTTAACCTAAGAGAGTAATGTCAAATTTTTATAATAATTTAAAATATATAATAAAAAATTGTGTGTTCTCCCAATAATTCTTTTTATAAATAATACATGGCGCAGCCGGTAGGATTGTGAGAAGCAGAGAGGGTGTTTTGCGAGTGAGAGAGAGAGGCACGTTGTACGAGAGGGAGTGAGGGGCGTAGTGTGTGAGGGCGAGAGGGAAGGGGGCGTTTCTAAATTATCTCACGGTGAGGATGCCGACTGCTTAGCTTAGTGACTAGAGACACATAATCCGGTAGGCGCAAGATCGAATATTGGCACCGGTAGAAGATTGGAAAGTGGACTGGAACCCGAAATTTTTTTCTTTTTTTTTTAATGTGAAAAAGTGGCAAACGAACTGGCGGTTCACCTGATGTTAAATGATACCGCAAATGACATTTGCAACACCGGTTGCAGATGTGTTGGCACCTTTTTATTAATGTGGGCCCCGGCTACCTCACTCACCAGACGAAACGCAGGAGTGTAACACTTCTACGCCGGTCCTGTGAGGTCGTAGTACTAACTCGGACAGACCTCCTGATTCGTGCAACAGCGCATACTGTTGCGTGGTCCTACCACAGCATGTTCTAAATATGTACTAGAACTCGTAACAAATAATACAAATCAAGCACTGCACTGCATATTATTTTAACATATAATACAAATCAAGCACCGCACTGCATATTATTTTAACATGTAATACAAATCAAGCACCGCACTGCATATTATTTTAACATGTAATACAAATCAAGCACCGCAGTCCATTTATTACATATACAGTCATGCTGTGTGCGTCTTCTCGTTTTCTGCGCGGCGTGTTCCCCACTAAACTTGGTCATCATCTCCCAACCTTCGCAGCGGCAGCAGATCCAGGTGCTGGTGTCGGAGAGGGCGCCCGACGCGTGGGTGAACGTCCACGACCTGCTGCACTTCCTGCCCTCGGAGGGGGGGCGGGCGCGGTTCCTCTGGGCCTCCGAGGAGACGGGGCACCTGCACCTCTACCTCGTCACGTGCGCGCTCCGCTCGCCGGTCGCCGCGCCACGATGTGAGACCCCCGCCGCCCCTGCTTCAGCAGCTGGGCGGAGGTCAATCGAAATGGTCCCGCAATGGGTTCGCCGCGCCACGATGTTTGACTCTTCGAAAGGCGGGCCACGATGTGAGACCCTCGCCGCAATGCTTCTCACAGCTGGGTCGGAGGTCAACCGAAATAGTCGATTGTGTTAGTTTGGTCCCGGACGTTAGTTTGTCGAACTAATCGAAAGGCGCGCCATGATGTGAGACCCACGCCGCCCCTGCTTTTATAGCTGGGCGGAGGTCAACCGGTCGATTGGAGGTCGAAACGCCGAAATGGTGTTCACAGCTGGTCGGAGGTCAACCGAAATAGTCGATTGTGTTAGTTTGTCGAACTCTTCGAAAGGCGGGCCACGATGTGAGACCCCCGCCGCAATGGTGTTCACAGCTGGTCGGAGGTCAACCGAAATAGTCGATTGTGTTAGTTTGTCGAACTCTTCGAAAGGCGGGCCACGATGTGAGACCCCCGCCGCAATGGTGTTCACAGCCGGTCGGAGGTCAACCGAAATTTTCCGGGACGTTATTGTTAAAGTTAAAGAAAAAGGTCTCTAATCACGACATCTTTTATTAAATTTTAATGTTTATTGTGCTAATCTCTGCACTTCAGCTGAAACAAAATTTTTTCCAAAAAAAAGACGTTTCAACCGCTAAGCTAAAAAGATCATTGTCACAGACGAAAATCTCAACATTTTTTTTTAAACATTGTCCTTAATGTAGGATAACTACTACTACTACTACTATTATTATCCTGTGTTGTAAGTACATTATACATAGATAATATTCACGTCGACACCCAGATGCGAAAAAACTATCTGTGGGTCACACGAATAGTTGTCCCGTGTGGGAATCGAACCTACAACCCACGGCGCCAAAGCCGACACTCGGCGACTGTCAGTTGCTGTAATAATAATTATAATTTTTAACAAAAAAAAATATCGATTTCAAACAGGAAACTAAAAAGATTGTTAATACCTATAACATTTCTGGATTGGCCTCGATTTCTCTGGGATGCCATCATCATTTCCTTATCATGGTACCACCCTTGGGATACCTCCTCGCCAACAAAAAAAGAATCGTCAAAATCGCATAAAAAAAAATCTAAAAACACATACGGCCGAATTGAGAAGCCCCCTTCTTTTTTGAAGTCGGTTAAAGAGTGTCTTAACGAGAACCGCTCTCGCTTTTCCAGCCGTCATCGAGATGATCACAGACGACGAGTCGAGCGCGGCGGGGCCGGACATCGTCAGCAGGCTGGCCATCACCAGCGGCGAGTGGGAGGTGATGGACCGCAAGATCTGGGTGAGCGCGGTCCACCGGATTCTAACGATGGCGGTTCACCTGATGTTAAGTGATCACCGACGCCCATTGAAGTTTGCAAACACCCGACGGGTAGTAGATGCGTTGCCACCTTTTAATAAACCGCAAATCTCACTCAACAAACGAAAAAGAAGTATAACACTTCTACTTTAAGACGGTCCTCCGTGAGGTCGTGGTGCTTGCCCGTTCGTGCAACAGCGGACAGCGTGGCAACATCAGCTGCCACAGTTGCCACTGCGTATTGGATCATATTTAGGGTTCATTTATTTGTTTATACACCAAAAATATACATATGTATATAAAAAGCAAATATTCAAGGGACCAAAGGATAAAACGGGACCTTGTTAATCAGACCCTGTTGTGTGTCCGTCTATCTGTCCGGCTGTCACATGCGCTGTATCTCGTGAACCGTGATAGTTAGACAGTTGAAATTTTCACACACTATGTATTTCTGTTGCCGCTACAACAACAAATACTAAAAATACAGAATAAAAACATACACTCCCATACAACAGCCATTATTATTTTGCCGTTTTTATAGATAACTTGGCACTTGGCGGGTTTTTATGACATGTGTTTATGAACAACGCAACTGCTATTAAAGAAGCAAGAGGGCACTATGTAGAACCTGCCCAAATAAAACACAGTAACAGCGCAGTCTTGACTCGGTACGGAACCATTCGCGCGCTAGTCCGACTCGCACTTGCCTTCTCTCTAGTCGCCTAGTCTCTATCTTTTTGCTTACTTTGATCGGAGCCGCCTCTGACGAGGGTCGTACCTCGGCAGGTGGACGAGGCCCGGGGGCTGGTCTACTTCGTGGGGCTCCGCGAGACGCCGCTGGAGCGCCACCTGTACGTAGCGCCGCTGCAGCCGGCGACGCCTCCAGTCGCCCAACTCCTCACCAGCACCGGCCACTCGCACACCGTCGACATAGACGACGTGAGTTCCAACCGACCCCGGTCTACGGCACCAGTTTGTAGACGGCCTTCTAGAAGACCACCATGACGTTTCCCGGTGGCTGTGGAAACCAGAACACAATCTCCCTGTGACTCCCCAAACCCCCTGTTTGATGATTTGTTTATGTGAGAAGCTGACAAGTAAGGCGGTTAAGTGATAACCGAAGGAAAGAAAAGTGGGGTTGCAGATCCGTTGGTGCCTTTTAATAAAGTGGGCCCCGGCTACCTCACTCACCAAACCGGTCGGATTTTTATGAGGCTGTGACACTTCCGCGGGCATTTCTTCCCATTCGTAACTCTTAAACAACGCAGCGTTCCACCACGATTGGGGTCCAGTTTGGGTTCCGATACTCAATGTGTTGGTTGCCGTTTTTAGGTGTTGCACATCTTAATTTATTTATCCTGCATATTGATTTTAATTTATTAAAAAAATAATAACAAAATAAAAAAAACATATTTCGAAAATATGTAGAAGTCCGCCAATCCGCAGTGGGGTCGCATGGTGGACAATGCCCTGATACTCTCTTTACAGGGTAGGCCTTTGCTAAGTAGCGGGCTATTTGTAGGCTCTTTCGATACTTTATTCACTCTCAACGCATTTCCGAAACGAGCGTAAAGTGCAACCTCAAAAACGACCGTTCCACCACGATTGGGCTCCATCTTGGATTCCAACGCTCGACGTCATTCTAACACCGTGACGTTGGTGTCGTTTACGTGTCGAGCATCGTAAAAGCCCACCCTTAGCACATCTCCCAAACGCGTTACAAGTGCAACCTCAAAAACGACCATCCCACCACGAATAGCCCAACACGAAGGTAACACTTTTGGAATAGCCCAGCTAACACAGCTGGAGCAGCTTGGGCTATTCCAAAAGTGTTACCTCAAAAATGGCGGTTCCACCACGATCGGGGTCCACCTTGGGTCCTCCTTGGGCTATCGCCACCTTGCCACCACTCCCCGTCCTCCCCAGGAGTGCACCACCGCGGTGGTCACCACGTCGAACATCAGCAGCGTCCCGTGCACCCGCGTGTACCGCATCGCGCACGGCCCCAACGGCACGTCGCTGGTGGTCCAGGGCACGCTGATGGAGCGGCCGGCGTGCGGTAAGCGGTTCGATTCCGGCGGCAGTGACCTTACGCAACTATACAGGGTGATTTTTTTGGGCGGAGTGCACACTTTGACGTAATGTTAATTGAGCATTTGATAATTAAAAAAAAAATATATGTCGCCGCGTATAGATTAGCGATGCGAACGCTTTCGGCAGGTGCTCCTGGTGGAGGGTAAATGGCGTAGGTCTCAAGCAATTAAACCGCAAAGATACAGTAGGTTATATCTTGTATTCTATGTAGATAACCAATATAGTACAAAGTTCCAAAGTGAACCAACGGTCTCGTTTGGAAGGTCCGAACTGTATCGCTCTCACTAATTTCCCCCATAGGACAGGCGGCGCCTAGTGTGGGGGTTAGTATTGTATCAATTGTAATGCTATATATTAATAAATAAATAAAAAAATAATGAACTGAGTAACTCCGTAATACTGAGCCCAGGTTCACCGCTCTCTTATATTTTAAATTTAACAGTCATAACGATTCCGATCACGTGACTCGTTAAGTCACGGTGTTCACTACTCACCGTTACAACAATATCAATTGAGTTACTAATTATTGTTAAATTATCGTAATCTACGACAAATATATTAATATTTTATTTTGACAAGAAATAAACAGAAAAATATCAATCCAAAAATTGTTTGTTTATCCCTTTCAGAGTGGTCACCCTATTGATGAGCGGTTTAGTAATTATGCGTACAGCGAAAAGTTTTAGTGTTCGTCAATTGGTTATTTTATTGAGACGGTAAGACAGGAATTTCTAAAGGTGTCCGTAATGTTTAAAAAAATTAAAAATTATCTTTAAAAAGAATGAGGTCACAAGTATGTACTAGATTACTACAGCTGCTAGATTCATATTAAGAATCAAATTCTGCATATGCTCTGTTAATGTCCATCGTCTTAAAAATCACCCTGTATATTAATCCTTTTGTAAAATTCGACGTTTCATAAGAACGCGCAAGCGTATATTTGTTATAAAGATATTTTGAACTAGAATTTGTCAGACCGCGGTAGGGATGCCGAAAAATATCGATATATCGATACTTTCGATTGTAAAAATGAATATTTTTAGCCGATATATTTTATTCCAATATCTCGATATGAAATATTCTATATCGAAATGATATCAAACACTATGCTGTGATGCTCTCTGTACAGAGGAGATCTCTGCCCAGCAGTGGGACATATATAGGCTGTAACTTTACTTACTCTAACTTCTAAATCTAATCAACGACTCGATGCTGTTCAGATTCCGACACGAGGGGCTACAACGGAGTCTGGGACGGCCGCACCGAGTGTGGCGAAGAAGGCGACGCCAGTATACTAGTCAGAGGTCTGTCCGTTTGTCTGTCTGGTCTTGTTTGCAGTCCATTCTAATAGTCCTCGTGACGAGAACGGACTCTCCAGGTTCGTTGTGATTCCTAAATTCCAAGAGCCACCAGTTCCGACCGATCGTTGGTGTAGTCTGGATTTATTATTATTATATATTGGTGATATACTTAAGCGGTTCGTCCGATGTTAAGTGATTACCGACCCTCTTCAAACAAACGAGACACGAAACTACAACAAGCCTACCCCGCACTGGGCATCAGTGAGAAGCCGTGTTGCCACCCAGGATGAGCTCGAAGCCAGGGTCAGATGAGAAGTTCCCCGCTACAGGGGATTTGTTGGCAGATCCTGGAGACAATTTTTTTTTATGTGAGAAAGTGGCATACCAGCTGGCAATTCGTCTGATGTTAAGTGACAACCGCCGCCCGTGAACATTTGCAACACCGGTAGGTTTGCAAATGTGTTGCCACCTTTAAAGAAAGTGGGCCCCGGCTACCTCACTCACCGGACGAAACGCAGAAGTGTAACACTTCTTCTTTACGCCGGCCTTCTGTGAGGTCGTAGTACTTACCCGGACGGAGCTGATGTGCTGAGTACCGCCGGCTCTGGACATACACCAAAATGTTCGCATGTGGGTATCGAGCTCGAAGCGAGCTGGATGGGAGCCAGGGTCGGATGAGGAGGCCCCCTGCTGCAGAGCGCGAGTTGGCGGGGATCTACCGCCCCCTGGACACTTATCACCACAGTCTAGTCACAGAATTGAGTCTCCTTTTTGAAGTCGGCTAAAAGGGAGACCTAGGCTGGTCGCAGCCAGGGTCGGACGAGCATCTGGTCCGATGCGGAGCGCGCGCTGGCCGTCGCGAATTGCGACTCTCTTTTCGAAGTCGGCTAAAGGGGAGACCGAATTTCCGTGCGTCTTGGCTGGTCGTAGCGACGAATGGTCGAGGCGCGCTTATGCACAGTTCCGAGGGACACCAGTGCGTTCCGTAGATTTCGGAGTCCCGCCAAACGTACAGAGGGCGACCAAGGGGGTTTTAAGCGGGTACGAACCCCACATAACTCGCGCATTAAGGGTTCCGGACCATTATATTAATAAATAAAAATGAATGTTAGTAAGCGCATAACTCAGTGAAAGTGGCTCAGTCTACGGTCTTAAAGGGGAAAGTGAGTCTCCGGTCCCGGGTGTCGGGGCTGGTCGAAGCCAGGTCTGATGATGAGGAGCACCGTTGCAGAGTTCGCGTTGATGGTCGCCAATTGAGACTCTATTTTCGAAGTCCGAGTCCAGTTGCAGAGCGGTCGCTGGCGGGCACGAATTGACTCTTTTTTTGAAGTCGGCTAAAGCGGAATTGAGTCAGTCTACGGTCTTAAAGGGGAAAGTGAGTCAGTCTACGATCGCGGGCGTTGTGGCTGGTCGAAGCCAGGGTCTGACGATGAGGTGGTGCTTCGCAGATTGGTCGCTGGCGATTGACTCTTTTTTTGAAATCGGCTAAAGGGGAAATTGAGTCGGTCTCCCGTCTCTGCCGTCGGGGCTGGTCGAAGCCGGGGTCTGATGATGAGGTGGTCGTCCGCAGAGCGGTCGCTGGCGGGCGCGGACGTGCCGCCGCCGCAGATCCTGGAGACGCGGCTGTCGTGCGGCGCGGCGGCCTACTGCACGCTGTGGCGCTGCGCCCGCCCGGGGCGGAGCCCCACCGTGCTGCACGTCTACGGCGGGCCAGAGGTGCAGACCGTCACCAACAGCTACAAGGTGCGGCGTTCGGTTCTCCCGCTAGTTTCAACACCCCCACCCCTCGACCCCTCCCCGTACACGATGACGACACCTGTTAAATGCCCCACGGAGACTGCCACGAGCTTGGCGGTTCACCTGACGTTAAGTGATAACCGCCGCCCATGGACTCTGCAACATCCGTATGATTGCAAACGCGGTGCCACCTTTAAATAAAGCGGGCCCCGGCTACCCCACTCACCAGACGAAACGCAGAAGTTTAATACTTCTACTTTACGTCGGTATTCTGTGAGGTGGTACTAACCCGGACGGACCTGCCCATTCGGGCAATAGTGAACACTGTTGCATGGTTCTACCACAGTGAATAACTCGATATACATTTTCCATTACATTTTGAGGAGTTTCCTAATGCATCTCAGGACTCCAATGTCCAATACCAATGGCGTTCATGTGCGACCGCATGGCCGCGCCGAATGCGACGCGAGTTTTTAGAGAAGAGAATTTTTAAAATTGGTCGGGCGACCGAACCGAGAAACACCTTTTTCGCAGTCGGCTTACAACAGACGCGGTCAGCGTTATTAGTTGTGCAAATGGATTCGTTAAAAGTTACAACATCAGGAAAAATGTATGCATAAACATGTAAGGACATGAAATTCAATCATCACCATCACCATCACCACCATCGTCATCGAACGGCGGCGCCATCCACCCGCACGCTCCAAACCCCAACCATGGCTGGTGGCCCTCGCCGCTGTCAGTGCGAACCCTAACCCTGGCGACCCTCGCCGCTGCAGGGCATCCGGCAGCTGCGCATGCACATGCTGGCGGCGCGCGGCTTCAACGTGGTGGCGGTGGACTCGCGCGGCTCCAAGCACCGCGGCAGGGCGTGGGAGGCCGCGATCCGGGGCAAGATGGGCCAGGTGGAGCTGGACGACCAGGTCAGAACGGACATGCGACGCAACGACGCTTCCACAACTATCTCTCTCTCTCTCTCTCTCTCTCTCTCTCTCTCTCTCTTCCAAGCTATACAGGGTGGCTTCTCTAAAAGTGCCCAAATTGACACAGGAGGTTCAGACTCGGTAGTATAGTCGTTTATTGAAATAAAAACAATTTTTTTTTCTTCAAAAAAATTGCCATTCATGCCTAAAAAACAGTTGACACTTGTTGACAACGCGATAGTCATTCATAAATACCTAAATTTTACCGTTCATGTTGTTCAAATGTTAGTTATAAATGATCGTGCGTAAAATAAATGAGTTGCCCATAAATCATGCCCTTACTTACGAGTGATTAAAATTATTTATCATTTTTTATTTCACATTATTTATGTCTAGAATTTAGTTAAAACAAAATGGATACACTTAGAAAAGCCTCCCCGTATATCCCAGTGTTAGTGCGACGCAACACTGTTGCACGAATGGGCGGGCCCGTCCGGGTAAGTACCTCACAGAAGACCGGCGTAAAGTAGAAATGTAACACTTTGCATTTCATCCGGTGAGTGGCAACGCATTACCAACTTTACGGGTGTTTCAAATGTTCAAATGGCGGTTATCACTTAACATCGGGTGAGCCGCCAGCCCGCTTGCAACTTTCTAACATAAAAAAAATTCTCAAACAGAAAATTGCAGTGCTAAGTTTCCCACCTAGTTTGGTGGCCTTCCTTTACACGCCCGTACCACCGCTGGCTACTTCCTGCATTATCGGCGATAAGATGCAGGAGAGTAGGCTAGTAGGTAACAACGCTTCTATAACAATAAAGTAATAAACTTAAATTAACAGCCTATACTAGGGATGCCGAAAGTGAAAAAATGTATCGATAAATCGATATACAGCGTGTCGTTACCATCGCGACAATAAATGAACACACGTCTAACGCTACTTGCCAATAATCATAAAAAAATATTAACGTTAAACAAAATCCATAATCAAAAAAAATATTTTTCAAACAAGCTAATTAAGTAAAAAAGAAACAAAATTTGTAACATCCTATACAACTCGCGCCACAGCGTCGCATTACAAGCCTCTCCTTCTAACGGTATGTTTTGTCTCTTTTAAATTCATTCAACCCATTCATATGCTTTGTGACCTTTACAAATGAACTTAACGTTACGCTTTTATAGGTAAGGGTGTTCTAAAATTGTTTCTTTTGGAAAATTTAATAACTCTGTAAATATTGATGTTTGGAGAATGTAAATGTTTAAAAATTTATCCATCATTATCATTCATTTATTGTCGCGGTGGTAACGACACGCTGTATACAAAAATATCAATATGGGCCTCGATATATCGAAGAGAAAATATTCATATATTGGATCAAAAAATATTATCTAAAATATCGATATTTTTTTTTATGTGAAAAGTTGCCAAACGAGCAGATGGTTCACCTGATGGTGAGTGAATACCGCTGTCCATGGACATCTGCTACACCCGAGGGTTACAGATGCGTTGACAACCTTTTGAAAATTGGGCTGCGGCTACCTCACTCACCACACGCAACCAGTGTAACACTTCCACTTAAAGCCGGTCTTCTGTATGGTCGTGGTACTTACCCGGATGGACCTGCCTGAATTATTTTGCATATGAAGATTGGGCAATAGTTTTCGCGTGCTGCCCAGGTCGAGGTTCTGCAGTGGCTGGCTAAGGAGACGGGCTGCATAGACATGGAGAGGGTGGCCATACACGGGTGGAGTTACGGTGAGTTTATTTTCTTAAACATTGCATAAAAAATTTACAAGCACATTTGTTGTGAAAAATATACTTAATACTAAATAATCTACGGACTGAACGGTTCTGACCTCCTAAGTGATCAGTGTCCTATTTATCTGTATATATATCTATTATTTCATGACCTACTTAGGGGGTCAGTATCCCATCTATCGATTATCGTATACCTATCGAGTGTCGAAATGTCAAATGTCGGTTTCGGATCCACGCGCAGGAAGCGGGACCTATTTAGGAGGTCAGTATCGCTTATGTTGATTATCCTATTTATCGATAGATAGGATACTGACCTACTTAGGGGGTCGGTATCCTATCTATCGATTATCGTATACCAATCGAGTGTCAATATATCAAATGTCGGTATCGGACCCTAGCGCGGGCAGGCGGCCACCTACTCAGGGTCAGTGTCGTATCTATCGACTATCCTATCTATCGACTATCGTATATAGGTATACGATAATCGATAGAGAGCAATCGATAATCGAGTGTCGACATATCAAACGTCGGTTCCGACCCCGGCTCGGGCAGGCGGCTACCTGTCGCTGCTGGGGCTGGCCACGCGGCCGAACGTGTTCAAGGTGTGCGTGGCCGGCGCGCCCGTGACCAGCTGGCGGCTCTACGACACCGCCTACACGGAGCGCTACATGGGCCTCCCCGCCAGGGCGCCGCACGCGTACAGCCGCGCCAGCGTGCTGGCCCACGCGCCCTTCTTCCCGGAACGGTGAGACAACGCCCCCCCTCTCCCCTCCCCTCCCCTCCCCCGTCAAGTGTCACAGGCCCCTCTCTTGTATTACGAGCCGCGACAGAGTAATGGAAGTCTGAATGATAGAGACCTTTCCCCTCAAGTATTAGAGACCCCCACTCTTGTATGTGGAGTTGTGATAGAAAACCTTCCCTTCAGGTATTAGAAGTCACGATAAAGATTCTTTCTACTGTGGCAGAAGCCGCATGATGTGATCCCCCTCTTGTATCAGGAGCAATGATAGGATCCCCTCACGGTCTGTCCCCAGCGAGGGTCGGCTCCTGATAATCCACGGGCTAGCAGACGAGAACGTCCACTTCTGCCATACCGCCGCGCTGCTCGCCGAGCTGGTGCGCTTGGGCAAGCCGCACCGGGTGCAGGTATGCTCGGGGTCACAAGCATTTGACTGCGTCTTCGTGTCCATAACATATGCATATGCGACGTGGGTTATTTAGCTTTAGGCGTTGAAAACATCGCGAGGTAGCCTGCATGTTATCGAAATGGTAACAAAAAAAATATTGGTAAAGATACGTGAAGTCCGCAAATCCGCAGTGGGGCCGCCTGTTGGACTATTCTCATACACTCTGTATAGAGAAGGCCTTTTCCCAGCAGCGGGACTTGTATAGGCTGTTACTTCATTTACTGTGGTAGGGCCAGCTTCGGATGATTGGCAGCGCATCTGTAATACTACGGGTGTTGCAAATGTCCATGGGCGGCGGTTGTCACTGGTTTGGTTTACTCATTAATTGATTTAAGTGAAGTGTTTTATTTGGTTTTATATACAAACAAATTAATAGTTTCTACTCATTTAATAGTTGTCAGTAGATAAACCTGTTTCATTATGTATGCTGTGTTTGCTATATATATATAATGGAATAATTTTTTTCTATGTATATTTCTTATGTAATCATTCTAGATTGTATTCAGCTATAGAGACCTAATAAACTTGTTGAACCGCAAGCTTGCCACCTTTACACATAAAAAAAACCTTTCTTTTACTCTACGACTGCAGGTGTACCCCGGGGAGCGTCACTCGCTCCGCTCCACCTTTACACATAAAAAAAACTTCTTTTATTCTACGACTGCAGGTGTACCCCGGGGAGCGTCACTCGCTCCGCTCCACCTTTACACATAAAAAAAACTTTTCTTTTATTCTACGACTGCAGGCGTACCCCGGGGAGCGTCACTCGCTCCGCTCCACCTTTACACATAAAAAAAACTTTTCTTTTATTCTACGACTGCAGGTGTACCCCGGGGAGCGTCACTCGCTCCGCTCCACCTTTACACATAAAAAAAACTTTTCTTTTATTCTACGACTGCAGGTGTATCCCGGGGAGCGTCACTCGCTCCGCTCCACCTTTACACATAAAAAAAACTTTTCTTTTATTCTACGACCGCAGGTGTACCCCGGGGAGCGTCACTCGCTCCGCTCCATGCACGCGGCAAAGCACTACGAGGCGACCCTCCTCCACTTCCTGCACGAGAACCTCTGAGCGCGACTGTACTCGGTCGCGGAGATTAAAGCAATTCGTTACGCCCCCTTCGTTTCATTACATGCCCCCTGCCCGCCGTGAAGCGATCTACGTGTAGGGTCTGGGAATTCCCGACGATTTCAAACTGACCACGAAGATGGCCCAATCAAAGTCACGGGAATTCCCGGGATTCCGTGGATTAGAAAACAGTTTTTTTATGTGAGCATTATTTTAGGAAGAATTTTTGAGTGTTTCCGGTGAAATGCATTAAAAAAGGCATTTTTTTTTTGTAAAAAAATCAAAAGTTTTTAAGCAGAAAATGAAATATTAGTAACTTTAACGTTAATTTCAGTCTTAATATTTTTTTTGTTTATTTTCACAGATTCATTTGTAAGCTAAGTGCTTAATGTAAATCTCGTAGTTATAGAACTATTTATTTAAGAATCGTGATAATTATTAATGACATCCTATTATCTATTAATTATATATATAATTATTATTATTTTATCTATTTATAATATCTAGTAATTCTAATATCTAATCATTGGTCATAGTCGCAACTATTAATGTGTTGTGTGCTCAGTAGTTGAGGTAGGTCAAGTAATTCATTAAACTAACAGATGGCGCTAGGATCCTTCAATTATTTGGAAATAAAAATGATTACGAAATAACAATTTCGACAGTCTTGTCTCGACCTGAAAGTCCCGGCACTCGAGACATCTAAAATTATGAAAAGACGACCCAAACCCTACCTAAATACCATAATCTTGGAACGTAATGTTCACCAGTTTCATGTTTCGAAGAAGTGTGTTCGAAACTTAGACGCAGCCGCTTCTTCTATCTTACTCGAGGTGCTAGACGTGTTGCACGATGTATCGACTCGGTTTTAGGGTTCCGTACCTAGAGGTTAAACGGGACCCTATTACTAAGACTCCGCCGTCTGTTTGTCCGTCTGTTACCAGGCTGTATGTCATGACCGGTGATAGTTGAAATTTTCACAGATAATGTATTTCTGTTGCCGCTATAACAACAAATACTAAAACAGAATAAGATAAAAATATTTAAGAGGCGGTTGATAAGCAACGGTTACGTGGCAACCTATAGATACTTCGCAATTAGTTTCATAAATTATCTGGTACGGAACCCTTTGTGCGCGAGCCTGACTCGCACTTGGCACATTGTTAATGCATATATACGTTGCATTTAATTACATCTCTTGAGACCTGTCTTGCACTTAAAACAATCCATGATAACAGTTGTTGTAATGTAAATGAAATGTAAATAATGCCGATCACCCGGAGTTATCAAATCTTAATACATAAAAACGAATTGCTGTTCGTTATTCTCGCTAAAACTCGAAAACGGCTGGACTGATTTGGCTAATTTTGGTTTTGAAATATTTGTGGCAGCCCAGGGAAGGCTTAAACGATGAGAAATTATGAAAAAATTGCATGGAAAATCGAAATAGCAAATATTTTATTTTCCCAAACTGTTCCTACCTGTCAAATATTTAATGGGTGCGTTCCGAAAATTCTTTTGCTATGTGTTCAGATTGACAAATTCCCTAGAAATAATTTATATGGCAAAACAACGTTTGCTGGGTCAGCTAGTTAAACATAAAAAAAGGTAAGGTAATTAAAAATATAACCATTTAAATATAACTATAGACCATTGGGGGTGATGTGGATTGTTAAATCAGCTGTTGCTATACTAGAAATATCATCATCATATTCAGCTGCAAGAAGTCCACTGAAAGACTTAGGCCTCCCCCTTAGAACGCCAACTAGAAATATAGCGGCGCTTAATGATTCGCCAACGCTCTAGTAATCACTTCAAGGAATTGGTCCACCTAATGTTAAGTGATTACCGCCATTTACAACCCCTTTGTGGGACGGATGCGTTATCGACTTAAATATTTCAGCTCCGGCTGCACTACTTGCTTCCACTAGATGCCGGCCTTCTGTGAAATCGTAGTACTTGGTAACTTAATTACTTAGTAAATTATTTAACCTCGAATGTAAGAACTGCGACGAACTTGTAAAGTTAATTTGCCTCTGAAAATAAATAAATAATTTTATTGCATTGCAGAGTGCATTGTGTTCTAACCTATAAATTGTTCGCACGGTGGTCGCCATGTTTGTTGTGAACCTATAAATCGTTAGCACGGTGGCCGCCATGTTTGTTGCACTCGACAGCTTCGGCTGTTGCACGATGGGCAGGTCCGTTCGGGTATCAGGAATCTCACAGAAGACCGGTGTAAAGTGGAATTGATACACTTCTGAGTTTCGTCTAGTGAGTGAGGTAACCGAGTCCATTTTAAATTTGTAGAAAAATCAATCTTAAGTGCAGAGATTAGCACTATAAAAAAAAAATTTAAAGTCCATTTTATCAAAAGCAACTTACATGCAACCCTATGGGTGTTTAAAATGACCAACGAAGTGCCAGCTCGTTTGCCACTGACTAACATTAAAAAAAATCTACGGCACGCGAAATAATTATAATAGACAAGAGTACAGTATTGAGTAAACGTTGCACGTCCATTTTTAGAAAGAAACTATTGACTACTTCGACTAATCGACTTCGTTCTTTTTAAGATTATTGATGATCTGACGACCCGAATTGCGTAGTCGGTAATGTACCTGCCTTCTGCGCCAGAGGGTGTGGGTTCGATACCCACTACTGGAAAAATATTGTGTGATGAGCATAGTGTTTTTCTAGTGTCTGGGTGTTTATATATGTATAATGGGTATTTATTTACAAAAGAAAAGTATGTCTATCAGTTTTCTAGTACCCATAGTACAAGCATTACTATATGGACTAGAGAATGTTGTGTAAAAAAGAATGTGTCCTAAATATTTATTTTAGTGCTACTCTCTGCACTCAAGTTTACACTGCATAAGTTTCATCTTAAGTGCATAGGCTAGCACTAAAAATAATCTTTAAATAATCTTTAAAAAATGTAGAATTGGCGACATCTCTCGTTACAATTAATCGTTGAATGTTATTTGCAAGGTTTCGTATTCTGTAAAGGAGACACACAGGATGCGCCAGGCATTGCTAAAATTGCAATAGAACGAACGTAGATCGATGTCAAGATTTACGCGCCGGGAGGTCATCGGCCGCTTAGTTGGTAAAGCGTCTTGGCGCGAAACCAGATGACAAAGACAGAAACCAGGTTCGAATTCCGCAGCGCTGAAAGTTTTGTTCGTTTATTTACAAAAAAATTACGATATAAAGGCTTCGTTCTTAATAAAGATGCACGTAATAGCAACTAGGGTCTAGCTGAGTCAACCCTAAGGTATGTAGTTATCTTTTAGGGCAACAGCACAAAATCAAAATCAAAAATATATTTATTCAAATAGACGCTTGCGCGCTCTTATGAATCGTCAAATTTTTACATCAAAGATTATGTATATAGGTTCGTAAGGTACCACAGATAATGAAATAGCCTTTCGGGCGGGGCCCAGAACACTTTCATTCGGTCAATGTTAACCAACGACCACACAGACAAATGGACACCTATTGTTCGTATTGCACATCAAAATGATTCACACCCAGTTTCCGAAAGCGCAATCAATTTTAATTTACGATAAATCTCTTGTCAATCGTTATTTATCATGATCTGAGTTGCTAGAACGTCGTAAAACAACATTGATTTTGATTTGCAATTAGTCACTGATTAACGGACAATCAACAGAAAATCGAGTTTCTGAAAGCGTTTTTCGGTGGTCAACGAGCTGTCAAAAGTTTTATTAAGTAATCTGTCAATTTGGAAAATCAATCGTTGGTTAAAAATGTATTTTATCAAAAATCTTAGTTTTTATTAAAAATAAACATAATTCCCTAATACGTTGTTAGGACATGTGTTATGTGTTCTATTACCTATATATTGTTTATTATTATGCGAACATATCATGCGATTAGAAAAAATACAAAATGCAATTCAAAAGTTAATAAATAATATGGATTCTTTCTTTTTATAATCCTTACTTGTTTATTATGGATAAAAGTTCATTTCTTTACGTTCTGTAAAGTTTTTTCTTGACATTTTGCATGTATTTATATAAATTAAATTTTATTATAGCTCGGATTTTTACGTTGGCAATCACACGGTAACAGGTCTGGATAGTGACGTTAATTTAAGTTTTGTTTAAAAAGGGACAGAGCTATACAATAGAAAGAGTTAGTTGAAGTAAATCATTCATTTCATTCATTATCATTGGTTATACAGTGATTAGCTAATTTTTCTTGAACAAACCTTCCAGAAACCCAAGGCAGTTTAACAAGAGATTAACATCTGATCATTTTTGACATAGTGTTATGTGATTGCTGCTTTGATTGGCCTTTCGGAAATTGGGCATTAGTCTGCTAGCTGAGACGGGGAACTGTATTTTGATTGGTCCTAGAAATGTCGCTATATCGTAAATAGCAATAAAGCAACAAGATTACGGATGGGACAGGTTTAATTAATACGATATATCTTATCGTTTTTTTTGTAATAAAACGAAAGTCACCTTTATAACTATAATGTTTAAAGCAATTAAAAATATTTAATTCTAAAACAGTATTTAGGTACTAAAGTATAAATTTATATTATTTAACTTATGACTTAATAATCGATTATCCGTTACTCTTTATATTGAAAATATTGTTTTGACGTCTGTGTTCTAGCGGTTCCAGTGTTGGACTGCTGATGGCAAGGTCGTGGGTTCGATTCCCACGGGAAAAAATACTCATGTGATAACATAAGTGTTTGTGCAGAGCCGGATTAACGACGTAGCAAGAGTAGCATTTTTTTTTATGTGAAAGTTGTCAAGCGTGCAGACGGTTCACCTGATGTTAAGTGAATACCGCCGCCCATAGACATGTGCTGCACCCGAGGGTTGCAGATGCGTTGACAACCGTTTGGAAATTGGGTTCCGGCCACGTCACTCACCAGACGAAACGCGAAAGTATTTGTCATACTTCCACTTTACGCCGGTCTTCTGTAAGGTCGTGGTTTTTACCCGGACGAGCCC